ATGGTACAAGTAATAGGTTGCCATTTTCTGCTTGTATCTGCAACAGGGAGGGATGGGACATTTTGCCAGTGAGCTTCACTAATATTTGCTGACATCAGAAGAATGGTAAAAGTTGAGTGTCTTTAGTTTAATCCCAGGATTAATGGGGAGAGTGCTGAAATGAGCACAGGCTTTTCTGCCTGTTTCCCACATAGTTCAGCCATTTTTACCATTTTTAATTAATTCGTCTCTCTTCCTTGTCCCACACCCAACTCTCACAGTATACCTTGCTGTCATGAACTGAAAAATTCCCCGTTGCATCTGGATAATGCCCTGTGCATCCTGATCTGATCTGATCCCATAGCTGGAATATGATCCTTCTTGTCCTTTCCAACCTGAATTATTCCATGATCCTATGAACTCTTCTTGGTTTTCTTCATTATATAAATAGTGTGCATTCTAATAGGCTACTTTATTAATCAGTCTTTGTACCAAGTAGCTTTGATTTATTGCATTGTCATAACTTTACCTCTACAGTACAAGATTATTTTAGATAAAAAAGGCAACCAAGCATACATCCCATAGAACAGTAAAATATAGCCATGGTTGTTATTACACGAAATGAGGCTGTAGCAAATTCTACATAAAACAGGAATTTGTGCCAGGTGCTCTTCATACTGCCATGGCTTGCCTTCCAAGAATATGGAAATGCTAACTCAAAGGCTAAGGAAATTCGGTTTCTTTTCCTTCTCTGTAAACATGATGATATTTGTCTGGGTCCTGACTCTAAATCCTGCAAGCTGTGGCTGGGTGCTGACAGACAGGATGCCCATTATGAGACCAGGGGCTTGCTCTGCCCAGGGTGATGCTCACTGGTTTCCAGTGCTGCTCCAGCATTGAGATTCCTCCACGTTATGGCAGGGAACAGAGTGTTCCTTTCAGTCTGAACAGCAGAAGAGACCAAAGCCACCTTTCCTGTTCCTCCTCCCCAAACTGCTGAGAACACACGTTAACAGCGTGCAACTTCCTTAATATAATTCAGTGACAGTGGAAAAAATATGCTGAAAGACATTGAGTCATTCTTGAGTACAACCTATCTTTTCAATGATATTTTTTTTTGTTTCCTAACAAACAGGCAACCCAAAGCTACTTCATCTTCTGTCAGAGGTCAGTGAGGACTGGTTAAGAAGCCCTGCACAGGAGTGAAAGGCTTGCTTCTGTAATCTTACCTTCAACATTTATTTGTGTGTAACCACCACACTTGGAATATTCCTTTCAAACTGTTTTTGTTTCTCAATTCAAATCAAGATCAATTTTCACCAGAACATGTAAGGACCTTTCTGGTATTTGAAAGATACTTTCAGTGAAGTACTACTTCAATACTACTTTTTCTTCAAAAAAACATTTCTTAGCTACTAAAACTGTATTTTCTTTCCTTTTTTTTTTTTTGTCCTCAACCCTCCTGGACCCAGAAACAGTCTCTTGAGGATCCCTATTTCAAGGATGGGAAAACTTCTGCTACATAAAAATATGTGATTCCCAGCAATATACACCTTGGAAATTTTCTGTTCCAAACAATACCTTAGAACACAGGAGCAGCCCAGAAGAGCTGTTTTGCATGAACGTATATGGACAGCTTGAGAAATTGTCACCTCTCGTTATACGCTTTCCATTGCCTTGTAGGATTTTATTCAGTTTCTACATATGTACTCATTCACATCACTCCAACCCCTGTCTCTGAGGCTTTTCTCTTCATAGAATCACAGAACCATTTGAGTTGGAAGGGACCCTTAAAAAGTCATCTAGTCCAACTCCCCTGCTATGAACAAGGACACCTACAGCTGCATCAGGTGCTCAGAGCCCTGTCCAGCCTGACCTTATGTGTCTCAAGGAATGGGGCATCGGCCACCTCTCTGGGCAAATTGTTCCAATGCCTCACTAGCCTTATCATTAAAAAAAAACCCAAACTTCTTCCTTATACCCAATCTAAATCTGCCCTCTTTTTGAAACCATTTCCCCTTCTATCTCAACAGATCCTACTAAAGAGATTGACCCTTCTTTCTTATAGACCCCACTTTAGATACTGGAAGGCTGCTATGAGGTCTTCACAGAGCCTTCTCTTCTCCAGGCTGAACAGTCCCAGCTCTTTCAGCTTGTCCTTGCTGGGGAGGCTTTCCATCCCTTGGATGATTTTTTCCCTTCTATCTCTTCCAAAGTTTTCTGTTCCTCGCTTTTAGTCAGATTTCTCAAATCTACAGTTTGTCCTCTGTTCCCAAAGGTCATTTCTGTTTATTTTTGCTAGCTGTAGGCCTTGTCATTTGTGGAAAATGAGAGCTGGGGGTATTAGGGAACTGCTAGGCCAGTCCTATTGCAGAAGGCATCCAGGAAGAGTAGTGAGCAACCGATTGAGGTAAATCACAAGCTCATCATGGCAAAAACATGGAGAAATCAGGTGAGGTTCTGTGGGTTAAGCACTGGATAGCAGGAGCCTGCAGGGACAAAGTGCAAAAAGCTGATGCAGAAAATAAAACTCAACTAGTGAGAGCATCACAAGTAACATGAAATCATTCAGTAAGTACAGCAGCGGGGAGAGGAAGTCAAAAGAAAGTGAATTAGTCATCAGAGACAAAGCTATTGACTGATGCTGGGAAGGCTCAGAGTGCCTAATACCTTCTGTGCACCAGGCTTTGCTAAGAGAGGTTGCTTGTGATTAGGTGATTGCCATTACACACAGCAGCGACAAAGGAAAAGGAAAGAAGAAAGTACAAAAGCAAGTAGAGGTGTGCAAGTCTCACACAGCCTGGCTGTGGGTGAGGGTGCTGAAAGGAGTGGCTCTGGAAAGGCTGGAAAAATTACTGTCCATCCCTGGGAGCTTGGGAAGGGCAACTGAAGAATGTGCTGATGGAAAAGCACGAGTGGGGCCTTTCTGTGGAAAGGCACTTCAAAAACACAGAGAGCAGGCAGCCATTTTCTTCCCAGAACAAACAGGAAAATCCATTGCAAATAGTCAGGAGGGTCAAGCTGACCAAATTGCCCTTGACAGCAGCAGAACAGACCTTATTGTGGAAGAACGGAGTGACCTTAGTTAGGTTCTGTGCCTCTGTTCATAAATGAAGGTCAGTTTATGTGAAAATGTCAGGTAGTGGGCACGGAACTGATGCCAGCAGTTATTGGTCATTTCCTGGCAATCGAGTGGATTACAGATGCATTTCCAAAGGGGTCAGCACTAACTGGGGAGTGACCAGAAGAGGATGAAATGGGAATTAAAAATAATCTACAGAAATGCAACTGGAAGCAACAGGAGTCAGCACTATTGCAGGAGGGGGCTAGCAGGCTGAGGCCTACGTGAGCCAGCAAGCCGAGCTACGTGAAGGCAACGGGGAGTCATGAGGCAGCAGGGTTGTGGGAGGGTGCGATAACAGTCATGGAGAAGGGTGGGGACGTCCTGGGTCACAGCTGTTGAGTAGGGAACGGTGGAAGCAGATGGGATGGCAAAATATGTGAGGAGTGGGGTGGGGGGCTGCCCGATGCAGGAGGCCACAGGGACTGGGGTCCCGCAAGCAGTGCTGAGGGAAGCCATGCAGACAGGATCCAGAGCCACTGGTAGAGCAAGGGCCTCATGGTGTCTTTGTAAGGAAGGAGCTGAGGGGAACGAGATCCAAGGAGTTAATGATGCACCGTAACTCACTCGCAGAGACCAGATCTGGTTGTCCATCACAAACCTGCTCTTCCATTTACATTCAGTGAAGATGCCATTCCTCTACTAATGCACTCACATATTTTCTGCTCACTAACCACGTTCCTGTGTACGAGCACCTATTGATCTGCAATCTCTGCTTCTCTTCTTCCATAGAAAGAATCAACTGCATAGCTCAGTAATGCACAGGCTGAGGCACTTACGTGCCCAAGCGGGTTCAGCCGAACACAAAAGTAACCTTCACCAATCCGAAATGCCTACGTTACATTTAACGGGAGGCACTCACACGATTAGTTTAAGCTCGCGCGGATCCGAAGAGACACAGACCTTCCCCTCGCCCCGCTTCTATTCCCCCAAGTGCCCCCTCGCCCCGCAGCCCTAACCCCCCTCAGCCGCTCCTCCTCCTGCAGCGCAGCCAACCGCAGCCGCACTGCATTAGTAAAGGCGCACCGCGTAAATAATTGATCCGCGCAGCGCCGCGGGCCCGCCGCTCCCAGCCCTCTGCCTTCAGCGGGGCGGTGCGGTGCGGGGCCGCCCCCGGCGGCGGGTCCCTGCGGGGAGCCGGGCCGGCGGCGCGGCGCGGCGGGAGCAGGTGCGGCTGCCCGGCGCGGTCGGGGGCGGAGCGGAGGGCCGGGCCGGCAGGTGGGGGCTGCCGGGAGGCGGAGGCGGAGGGCCGGGCGGCCGGGCTCGGCGCGGGGCGGCTGGGCGAGTAGCCGAGGCGAGGAGAGAGGCGGGCGGCGGCGGCGCTCCCGCAGCCCGGGCCGCGGAGAGGCCGGCGGGGCCGCCCGCTGCTGCTGAGCCAGATGTGCGGGACGGGGGGCGGCCAGGGGCCCGCGGGGGGGTGCTGGGGGCTGCCGCCGCCGCTGCTGCCGCGGCCGGGGGGGGCCCTTTAGCTGGGAGCCGGGCAGCCGCATCGGGAGCTGCTGTTTTCTTCCCCTCCTTCCTTCGCCTTTCTTCTCCTCCCTCCTCCTCCTCCTCACCAAAACCGGGAGAGGAGGCGTGTTCGCAGAGCCCTGCTGCACCGGTTTTGCTTGGTTCGCTGTTGCCGGGTTTGGTTCGCAGGGTGATTGGGCTGCGGGATTTTTTGTGTGCTTCCTTCGTTATTGTTTTTTTTTTTTTTTTTTCCCTTTTTTCTTTCCCTTTTCCCTCTCCCGTGGCCCATCGCATGCTCGGCTCCGGCTGGATCCTTCCCTTTATTTTCGGCGGTGCCGCTCGGAGGGGGGAAGGGAGCGCGGGGATGAGTGCCGCCTGACGCACGGGCACGGCGAGGGGGGCCCGCCGCCAGCCGCAGCCCTCCGCGCCCGCAGGGCGAGGGGCTCGCCGCCGCCCCCTCTGCTCGCCCCGCTCCGCCGCAAGGTGTGCGTGCGCGGACGGCACAAGAGGGAGGAGGAGAAAAAGCTGCCCTCCGCCTCGCCGGCAGCCGCCGGGCGCCAGGGCTGCCGCCGTGCCCCCCCTATGTGAGGCCCCCCGGGCGGCCGCATGGCGATAGAGCGGCGCCGCGAGGCGGGCGGCGGGGGCCGGCCGCTGCCCGAGGAGAACGGCTCCGTGCCGGGCGCCGCCGCTCCCCCCCCGGGGCCGCCCCCCGCCGGGGCCGCCGAGATCCAGGCGGTGCCGCCGCCCGCCGCCGCTTGCAGCCCTCTGCTGCTCGACTACGACGGCTCGGTGCTGCCCTTCCTCGGGGGGCTGGGCGGCGGGTACCAGCGCACCCTGGTGCTGCTCACCTGGGTGCCGGCCCTCTTCATCGGCTTCAGCAAGTTCTCGGACTCCTTCCTGCTGGATCAGCCGGACTTCTGGTGCCGGCAGGCCGACGGGCAGGGCAACTGGAGCGTGGCTCCCGGCCACGGCAATCGCAGCGGCAACGGCAGCATCTTCCCCCCGGCCGCTCTGCCCACCCCCGTTGCGGGAAACGCCAGCGAGTGCGATTGCCACGAGTGGCACTACCGCATCCGGGCCGGCCTCGTCCAGAACGTCGTCAGCAAGGTGAGCGGAGGGCTGTTGGGTCCCCGGGTTCCCACCCGCCCGGAACCGATCCTCCCCTTCCCCCTTATCCTGTCCCCATTGCTGAGTGGGTTTGTCTTAGTCTTGTGTCTCGGGATGGCGTTCTCAGCGCTGTTCGTGTGCGTGTCTGGCTGGTCCAGAACGTGGGTCTGTCCCAGGCGGGTGCCATGGGAGGGCTGGGGCAGGGCGCAGGCAAGGTGCCTCTCAGTTCTGTGTGTGCCGTCAGAGCCAAGAGCTGGGCTGGTGCACAGGGAAACTGATGGTACAGGGAAATGGACAAAGTTCTGCGAATGTCTCTTGTTCTACAGTCACACCTTTGATACGGTTTTCAACAGAGTAATAAGAGAGGAAATGTCTCGTGCATGTTGTATACCTCTTCTGAGGTCTACAACTCTGTTTTCTGCTCCCTGGTGCAGTGGCTAAAGTGGAAAAATTCTGATGAGGGAGGCTGAATGCTTCCTATTTTCAAAAGAAAGCTTGATCTCTTCACCTTCTCAGATTTTCCTCATGCTTTGGCTGTGTGAGAACTCTGCCATGGGCCTGGTGGTGTTAACAGAGAGCTCTTGAAAGTGCTGTGTTATCTGTAGCTCTTGGAAGTGCAGATTTGAACTGTTACACCAGGAAAGTGGTTCCCCTTTGACTCAAAACCCCAAACTCAGCACAATTACTTCCTGCCTAGAAGCGTGTTAGGGATTAGCTGTGCTTATCTGGTTGGGAGAAAGCAATGCAGCAGTGACTGGGTGGCCGGTATGCTCGTGCTTTGCTCTGCCAGCAGGCACTGGTATTAATCGTTGGAAATCACGGCAGTTTTTCTTTGTGTCCCTCGAAAGCGTGTGCAACACTGGGAAAACAAGCAAAGCAAATCCTCCAAAAACTTGAATCCAGAATGAATTTAAAACAAGTCTGCTGCCCTCCTTCCATGAGGAAAGCACAGGCACATGGTGGACTTGGTTGGCTTGTGGTGTTAGAGTGCATAATGAATTTTGACATTTAAGAGAAGCAGATTTCCTTCTGTTTATAACCAGAGATGGAATGATTCGTATGTTTCTGGGCTTCACACCGATGCTGGAGTGTAAAGAAATGATCTTGAAATATTTCCTTCTAGTGCGAACTGTAACAAAAATTTTTCTCAAAATGTTGGGAATCTTGTGAAGGTCATCGTCACGTTGGCCTCAGAAGGTCGAGGGAGAGTTAGTTTGCTATCTTGCATGCTTTCTTAATAATAATAATAATGAAGTGTTCTTTGGAAGAACTTGCGGCAAAGGGCAGATCAATTTTAATGGATAAATAAACAGCTGTGGTCCCTGCTGTCTTGTTTTCTACTAGAAAGAATAATAATCATCTTTTGAGACTCTGGGTTTTTTCAGTGTGGAGTTCTTGTTGTGTGTTTGCTTCCAAAAACTTGGCAGCTTTTTCTCTTCAATTTCTAATCCCTTATAATTATAATTAGATTGCTTTTATGGGGTCAGGATTCCTCCCTAGCTTGTGTTTTTGTTCTCTTTGGGGCTTTCTGGGTGGGTGTGCTGTCTGTTTTCATCACAGTAAAGAAAGAGAGAAAACCCAAACAGAGCGTCAGTGTATGGCTGAATTGTCTTCCTCCCATAAATCGCCAGGCACTCCTGTGGTGTGGGAGCATTCCTCATCACTGCTGATTTTCCTTGTGTGCATCCCACTGGCCTTGGGGCAAAGGAACTTTGCTGGGAGAGTGAGGAGGTGTTTCCATCGCAAGATATTCAGATCTCCCTTAACTCCTCTCAACAGTAGTTTCTGTAAAAGATTATGCAATGTTCTCATCTTTCTAAATAGAGTTTTATTAAATCTTAGTCTAATATACAGTCATCTACGTAATAGCCAAGGGTTATATGGAAATATCATAAACAGAGCCAAAAGTATATCAATAAAAAATGCACTTTTGTTTGGCCACTAAGCCACTTTGTTCTTGTGGTAATGCATTGGAACAGGCTGCCCAAGGTGGTGGTGAAGTCACTGTCCCTGGAGGTGTTCAAGAACTGTGTGGATATGGCACTGAGGGACACGAGTTAGTGTGCATATACGTGATGGGTTGATGGTAGATGATCTTAATGGTCATTTTCAACCTTGATGATTCTATTACTCTAAGTTCCACTGTTTCCACGTCCTCTCCTCTCATGGTACCTCAATCCAGTGTTGTGTCTCTGCCCCTGTTTTCTCAGCTGACCCATCCTACATCACACTTGGGGCTTGTGGAGTTGTGATCCAGCCTTACTTGTGTCTGGCTGCTCCCTGCTCTGACCCAGGAGGCTGCTGGGGCTGGTGGTGGCCTCATGCTCCTTGGAGGCCAGCGCTGCCTCACCTAGCACTGCCATCGCCCTGCCCTCCTCCAATGAGTCACTGGGAGCACTGCTTTTTATAGTGCTGCCAGTCATTAGAACTGGGAGAGGTAATAAAGGACGTGCTGCTCGTTATTTAATGCCGTTGAGATACATATAGCAAAGAGGTCAGGTGCATAATTTAACCACAGGAATTCCAGTGGCCGTATTAAATCATGGATCTGAGCTCATGCCCTGTCTTGGTGCATAAATCTTGGTCTTGAGCTGTTTCATGTGTAAATATCCCTAGGAGAATATCTCTCTAGGAGAATTCTCTTGTGAGGCTTCTTAATGCTAAATGCTTCTTGGAAGATTTTCAGCTGTTCTTTGTCACATCATCACCACTGTCACATCACTACAAACAGAGTGCGCCCGTATCACTTATGATACACATATCCTGAACTGTCCTTCGGGCCGAAAGCTAGCAAGTGGATCATGTAAATAGACCGTGTCTCACTGCTGTCCAAAGGATGGATGCTGAGAAATATTTCCTTCTTTTTTTGAAAAGGAGAAAGCTGAGTCTCACTTTGGGTATTTGCAGAGTGGCTATTCCAATAAATTATTAACACTGACATAACAAGCAACATAATTACAGTTAAATGTACATTGCTGTGCAGTGTATCAGGAAATTGGAGTGTGTACTTAGCAGGGACTTTTCCAGCCTTCTTGTCACTTTTTAATGGCTGCATCTTCTATCGGTCTGCAAAGCCAGCTGTACTCCTGGGGCGAAGTTTTCATGGGGCTGATGGCTGTTGCTTTTCCCTTTGTTACCAAGATGACCAGTCTGCTGTGTTCAGTATTGTTATGTGGTGATGTGGTGGTGTTTTGAATGCTAATCTGTAGAATGGACACCAGGAGCTGGCAATGGCTGAGGCTTGATTAAATTGCAGTGGATGGTAGTGCAGCATCTCTCCATGCATGCTCGTGGCATTCCAGATCAGCAGTGTAGGGCGAAGTGGTTAGTTGGAGGCTGCTTTTTAATCATCTAGAACAATTATGTAATAGTATTTCATGTCTGGTCACACGGGAATTCTTGTTGTGGCTGCTTTTCTATTCCGGATGCTTTGTTTTGCTGCAGTGCTGTTCCTCTTGGCTCTTTGCTTCCCACTTGATTTGGGTTGAATCATCTTCCTTCACAAGGAACGTGCCATGATTTTACCTACTTGCTGCTGGTTTAATCTTTCTCATTCCAGTTTGGCTGGGCCTCCAGCAAATTGTCTTCCCTGGAAAAGGGGAGCTTAATTCAGGGGAACCCCTGTGTGGTCCAGCTGTGAGCATGGGGCAGCGCTGTCTTGGTGGGGGCTTGGGTTAGTTCAAGCAGTTATGTGATGCTCTTTGCCTCTGCAAGGACATGTTTGTGCCCTGCCAGGTTTTATTTCCTTCTCTTTCTTGCAGTTATGGCATTTTTCTGGTCTGGTCTTCTGTTATTTTGTCTTGCTAATCTGGCAGAAATTTTAATTTTTTTTTTTTTTTAAATAATCATTTTCTTTTTCTCTCTTGAGTTTTTTGCTGAGTTAATGAGGTGAAATGGCTCTGTGTGTTGACTCATGCCCTGGGCTGCAGTGATGTTCTTACAGGATTATTGCAGGTAACTGCAAGTAACCTGGGTGGTTACAACACAAATCTGCATGTGATAACAGCAGTAAATTTGGCACTGCTCATAGGTTGGTATTTCTTGGAGTAGGAGACAAGTGTGCATTTCAAGTGTGCTTTTATAACACAGTTATTAATTCAAAGGGATCTCTGGCAAGGTCCTTCCCAAAAGGAGGAGTGACCAAGCTTTGGCACAGTGCCTATGGAGAGTCATCCTTGGACATACTTGAAAGCTGTCTGGACATGGTTTTGGGCTCCTGGCTGAGTAACTTCTACTTAATCCCAAATCTATTAAACCCTCAAGTTATAGTACCCAGTGCAGTAGCTGGGCTAGCGGCAGTAAGATCAAAACTAGTGTATTGCCTTTGCCCATGCTTGTCTTGTATGGATTGAGCATGTAATGAGGCTTTCCACTTACTGGGCTGCTAATGAACGCCATCCTAAAACAAGGCATGAATCTGTGTGCATTCTGGCCGAGCAGAGTGCAGGTATGGATGGCCATTTTTGTCACAGTACCCACATTTCCCAGTGTTGGAGCTGTACTGAGCTGGCTTTGCCTGCAAACTGTGCGTTATCATGTGCTGATGTATGCGATAACCAACTGTGATTTCACTAGATGATAAATATGTACCTAGTGAGCTCACACATTGTTTTTATTTACTTCTGGGGGTGTGGTATGTACACACCAAAATACTTTTAAGCAATTGTTGTAGGAAACAACAACTACATTAAGATCGATATTGCCACCAGGACTCATACAGACTTTGTTTTCTATTTGGTGTGGATTTGCTGTGCTAGAGGGAATGTGTACAGAGTTAATGTTTATTATCAGCTTGAAGATAGTGTCTTGGATACTGGGATCTGATTTCAACCTACTGTAAGTTTTTTGCTTCTATAAACAGCACAAACTATAACCATTTGGGAAGGTAGCTCCACATTACAAAATCTTCACATCATTCTCAGTTTGAGAAATCGGACTGATTTTTGGACCTTTCCTATTCCTCATTTTCTGTGAGTGTGTGAAACCACTGTTTTTTTGTT